TAGGAAAAGAGTTCTTAGATTTGACACCAAAAGCAAGATCCATAAAAGGAGAAACTGATAGATTGTCCTCATCAAAATTAAAAACTTTTACTCTATAGAAACTCACATGAAGAGGATGAAAGACAAGCTACAGACTAGGAGAAAATATTTGCAAATAGCATGTATAAGAAAGGAGTATTATCTAAAATATATAAGAACCCTCAGAATTTAAACTAAAAACAGTCACTGGGAATTTTACTTCTAGTTACTGGTCCAGCATGAAGTCAGCACTCTTGATCTCACAAGATAAAAAGCTAAACAAACTGGAAATCAACAACTTTTCTTAGACCTGTCAGAGCACCGAGGTCCCCAGGGAAAATTGGGGCCCCAAAGCTGGAGAGACAACAGATACTGAGGATCACGGCTTACCAGGGACAGAAGCCCACAGTAGGAGCCAGTGCCCCTAGGGACACTCTGAACTGTGCGTGATGCATTGCTGGAGGCTCCACGTAGACTAGCTTGAGAGTTAAACACCCCAAGGTTGCCAAGAGGGGCCCCCACACTCTTGTGAGTTTTACCTCCAGGAGTCCCACCAGGTTCTCAGTGTGAAGATGAGAAAAAAATCCCCTCCTGCTTGTGGCAGGAGGAGGGGGAAATATCCATTTTGAAATATGCCCAGAGCATTCTGTTCTCCAAGGCCTGGGTCCCCAACTCAGGCTCTGTGAAAGGCTGAGCCCTAATTATGGGACCACAGAGTGCTTCCCCGCCCCGCCTGGCCGCCTCATCAGCAGGGCTCCTGTGTCCTCGCAGGGGTTACAGGTGAAAGAACTGCAAGCCTCAGACCTATTCGAGGAGTTTCTAGTAAAACCCAAAGACAACAGGGGAGACACAAACAGGGACCCCAGAGGAAAGTGCAGCTTCTGAACCACAGCTACAGCACACAGCCACACATGGGAACTCCCAGCCAGGTGAACACTAAAGGCCCGTCTGCGCAGTCACTTTGACGCACACATCATGCCAGACGATCAGTGCAAACGCACAGGACGTGCTAACAGGAGAAACGCCCAGCCCAGACGGATGCAGCAGGCACTCACAGGAGGGGACACAGACAGCCTCGGGGGACCAGGAGGAGGGCACACAGTGGCCAGGGAGGAACTGATGCTGTTTTCACAATGAAACAGCCCAATGTGAACTGCTCTAACCCGATGCCAGTGAACTTGATGCGGGATTGTCATTAAAAAGCAAACCAAGAGATATTCAGTCTGGAATCATGGAAGCTCACGGAGAGAACGACTTGCTGCGTAGCGAGGGCGGACGAGTCGGCAGCGCTGAGTGAGTGGCAGAGGAGAAAGCCACAGCTCACCCCTGATGACAGGGTCTGAGACGCCGAACTGGCAAAAGCATGATGTTGAGACATGAGAAAAGGTGCAGCCCCTTAACAACGGAGACGGAACCAGCTAACGCGACAAGGAACGATACTGGGGACGTCAGAGCCTGCGGCCTGGCCTGGGCGTTCTCTAGCCACATGAGTGACTCAGGAGCGCCTCACCTGTGTCCTCAAGTGCTCACACACTCAGAGCTCGCTCTCCTGACACCTTCTCTGGCCCAGAGGCTGGTGAGTCCTGCCCACCGCTCCACCCTCCATGCGTGGTCCACCCCCTCCAGGAAGTCTGCCCTGATTACTCTGGGCCCCGCAGTCACCTGACTCCGACCTCAGCCCATCTTCCCCCTGAGCAGCAGGTGGTCACAGAACACCTGAGCCACGTGCTAACATTCAATAACGACATAGACAGGGGCACATTCTCGAAGGTAAGAACTTGGACCCTGGAGTTGGGGAGCGGCCTTATCCCCCCAGCCCTGTTGCAGGACGTGGACAGGAATCTGGAGTCCCCACCCTTGTCCACGCTGGCCCAGGGCCAGGCCCACTGACCTGCCCCGGCAGCACCGGCCCCCGGGAGAAGGGGTCGGCAAAAGCGTCCAGCGAGGACTGACCACGCGCCCTGCTCAGTGCTAAGCGCTAGACCTTCGTTGTCCCCTTTAATCATGACGACAGCTTCACTCCCACCTCCCAGGGGCGCAGACTGAGGCCGAGGAGCTGAGATGCCTGTCCAGGACCACACAGGTGACAGCTGTCCATGTCCACTCTCTCACTCACACCCGTCCATGTCCTGCCCACGCCCTGCCTGCCACGCGCCAAGTGCTGTGCGCTCCCTCCACGCACCCGTCCCACTTAATCCCACAGCAGGCCTTGGCGGGAAATCTCCTCCCTCCCATTTCACAGGTGGGGAAACTGAGGCCCACCGTCCCACAGCCAGCAAGTGGCAGAATCCCACAGAATGCAAACCCAGGGCCGTCTGATGCCAAGCCCACAGTGAAGGTGGTTCCCCCTCCCTTCCTTGGTCTCAGCCTGCAGGGGACCAACAGCCCTGCTGTGGGGAGGGCACTGCGGGGACAGGGGGCCGGCTGGGGCCTGCAGGGAGGGCAGGCGGGGCAGCCAGCCCCTAGGTCTCTGGAGACTGCCTGATTTCTGAAGTTGCTGAAAATTTTGCACAGACTTCAATCTCTTTGCAAATCCAGAGCCTCCTCCGAGAGGCCGGGAGGGGAGGTAGGAGGAGGATCTCGTTTCTCTGGACCCTCTTGGAGTTTGCAGAGCTGTGTCACTGCATCAAAAGTTATGTCTTGAAGGGCCTCGGGACAAACCCACGAAGATGGATTTTTCTTAACCTCATTATCTTTCCCTCCCCAGGGTCATAGGTCAAGTCAATAACTCCCTGCCCACCGCCCCCTTCTGCAGGTCCCACAAGGCTGCAGACCTGCTGCAGCTGTAAATCCATCTGCCTCCCCCTGAAATCAATTGGAAACCCAGTTGCTAATCCACCCTCAGTTCAGCGGTTCATAAATCAAAGGCCTCTTCTGGGTGGCGCTGGGCTGGCCGAGGCGCCCGGGAGGCACCGACTAGACCCCAGATTCCAGCCGGGCTCAGGGGGGCAGGAACCCACCAGCACCAGGCCCAGAGCAAAGGCAGGGAACCCCAAACCAGGCAAGTGGTCACAGTCCCGGCCACCTCACCAGTGACCCTGTAGGGGACGCTCCCACCAACCAGGCCCAGTTGCACCTGCAGGGAGAGGAGGCCCCAGGAGAGCAGAGAAGCAGCCCTGGGCGCAGCACTGCACTCAGGTGGGTCTCGCTCCGTCAGGAGCCCTTGCCAAGCGTGCTCCGGAGAGAGCCCGGCTCTGAAGCTGCCGGGGAATTCGCCTCTAAGACCATCGCTTTGCAGAGGCCGAGGGCTCAGGCAGAGGCTCCTGCAGGTGGGGAGGGACAGGAGGTGGAACTCACGCCCAGGGTCCCTCTCCCTGCAGCTTCTGGAGGGTGGTGGGGTGCCCGGCAGCGGAGGCTGAAGGTCATGGGCACTCGCTCTGCACGGGGCCCATGCACACCCGGCCCGAGACCACATAGGGATAGAGCCCAGCCCACTGCACTCCTAAGTTAGTGCTCTAACCACTCACCTGCAGTCTGCAGCTTCCCAGAGGCTGGGGTGTGCTGCAGGTGGGCAGGGGCCAGGCCTGAGAGCCCCAAGTCCTGGGACACACCTCGGCCCCTTCACAGTATGGAGGCTGGGGCGGGGCACGTCTCCAAGCTTGCACCCTCACAGTGGAAGCCGGAGCCAGTAAATTTCTCCCAGTAATGGAGATGTTTGCTTCGCAAATTAGGGAGGCAATAAACAAGCCTGAGTAATTAATCACCAACCGCTGGGATGAGCAGAGCCTGTCAGTGCTGCTGCCCCTGCAGTGGCCTACCCCGCAGCGAGCTGGTGCCATTGGTGGCATCTGTCTGCTGAGAGGAGCAGTTGACAATCAGAGAATCAAAGAGCTAGGGAGGGGCAAGGGGATACTTGGGAGACCACTGAGTATGATCCCCTCATTGGACAGGTGGGGGAACCAAGGCCCCGAGATGGAGAGACACCAGCTCAAGGACACACAGCAGGAGAGTGACAGAGGTGAGTTGAATCCAGCTTTCTTGGAGGCAGGTCAGGGCTCTTCCCAGCACACCTAAGTACAAGGTCAAGGTCTTGAGGTTTGTGGGGAGGAATCTGGAAGATGATGGAGGAAACTGAGCCTCAGAGAAGGTAGGTAATTTACCCAAGGACTCACAGCAAGTTAAGAAGAGGAAGGAGGAGTTGGGCCTAGGATGACACCTCTCATTCTGCTCCTCTGTCTTCCTCTCTGACCTGCTGGGTCAGGACTCCAGAGCCCAGGGCAGGGCCCTGCCGGAGGAGGGAAGCCCCCACTCGGGGAGAGGTCCAAAGTGTGGGGCGGGGCCAACTGCCGAGTCGTGTTCCTGTCTTGATACTGTGCTGACTGGAAGTGCGCGTGCCGGCTAAGCCTCACAGCAGCTCAGCAGGAAGGTGGCGACTGTCCCCTTTACAGATGAGAAGACCAAGGCTCAGAGGAGGGAAGTGACTTGCCTAAGTCACACAGTGGTGGACGGTACTGAAGAATGTCATGTGTCCATGTATTGACCTCTCAGCTCCAAATCCTCCCCTGCCTGCTTGTGATACTGGAACGTTCCCCCCTGCCAACCGGCAGGAGGTTACGTTTGTCAGTAGCAGGGGTCGGAGGGACCCAGGAAAAGAAAGGGGCTTTTCTTCCCGGTCCCAGCTGTGCTCTTCTCTGCTTGTTCCTGCCCCATGCAGTGGCCAGCACTGGGACACGCAGTGGTGTTCCCACCGCCGTGAGCAGCTGCTGACGAGTTCCTGGGGTGCCTCCCCGTGGGCTGCTCCGCCTGCACCTCAGCAAGTCCCTCCCCCTGCCAGGGGCACCACAGCCTCCCACTAGCCCAGAACCTCGGCCCTGGTGGGGTTGGAGATACAGGAGAGGCTCTTCCCAATTTGTCCCTTAGATGGAACCCTGGCCGCAGTGGCGGCTCTTCACACCTGCTCTCTTTAGAGTTCTTTCAGCCCCTGGTGAAAGACTAAGGCAATCCTTAGTCAAAGCTAATTGTTATTTATTTATATTGAACTTGCCCTGTTCAAATCCAATGTGGTTTCTGTCTCTTGTTTGGATCCTGGATGATGGAAACTTGGTGTAATCCCAAGAGACAGACCCACCGAGATGAGATTCTTGGAAGTGGGTTGGTTGTGGCCCCGGGTTCGAGCACGGTGCTGACTGAGCTCTTTGCCAGTGGGAAGTGGGCATCAGGAATTCATGGCACTCAGGGGCAGCACAATTGGTCAAACCATCACCTGTGGTTGATCGTGACGAAGTGTCAACTGATGCAAGTGCCTTGGGAGCCCAAGTAGCTGCAGCCCTGACTGCCACAGCAGCGATGATGACTGCAGGGACCACAGTGGGTTCTGCTGAGTGCACTGGAGCGTTTGGAATTCTAAGCTCAGTCCTTTAACTCTGAGCTATGACAACCCTAAATAAATCTCTCATTTCTCAGAACCACAGGATGTGCACAAAAATCAAATATGAAATTAATCGTGCAGGTTGCTGAATTCCAGCAGGTTGAGTTCACCGTCTTGCCAAGTTTCCCACGTGAAAGTCATGTCCTTGGGAAATTCCTTCTCGTAGACGAGAATGGGAACCTGAAACGTGGAGTGGGAGCACCTGAGAGTGTTATATTCGAGATTCACAAGGCCACAGGACAGAGAGACAGAGTCACCAAGGCTGTAATTATCAAAAGGAGTTTTATTGTCTAGCTCGAGCTAGGGTCCGAGCCCCCAGAGTGCCAGCGCAGTGGCCTCTTCCCCAGGCAGGGACCCTCTTTTGTGTGTTAGTCCCCTTTTTATAACTCAGTTGTTTACACACTGGTCATGCATCCGCCCCCACAGTGATTCTTTCTTCATCCTGCCCGATAGGCTCTAACCTGTTCCGGGTCCTAGCTGAGAGACTCTGGTTTCTATGTTCTTTGTCTTTTTCCTCTGCATCCCATAATGTACTCATAATGCCTTGTGGTTAGAAAATAGCAAACAGAAGCCGGAAGGTGTCCGTTGTCCTTATAGCCCAGTGTCTTACAATAGGACCCACATGAAGCTGAAATCTTGGAATTTCAAGTCACTTGGATCATCCCTCAACCATAGAAGTGGCTTTCTCTGCTTGGAACCTCTAACTAGGTGCTCACTCACCTCAAGATCCCCCACAACCACCCATGCTGCCACGAGACCCGCAGCGGGGATAAAACCCCAGCCTGCTCCAAAGGGACAGGTACAAACCATGACCCAGGTGGAAATCGTCTACACAACAAAAGCAAGACTTTGCTAGTGCATGTTGGAGGAAACCCAGAAAACACGGAGGAGGGGCGGATTCTGTGGGTATTGGACCAAGGAGGAAATGTAACACAAGAGCGAGACAAGTTCGTGGGAAAGTGTGCACTTACCAGGAGTCTGGACTTGCTGTGTCAGCTCGTGCGGGTGGAGGCGGCCCCGGCGGCTTGCTTGGTTGCCTGAGTCATATTCACAGAGGCTGCACTTGAAAGGCCAGAGCGCCCTGGGGTGCTGCAGAGAGCGAATCCAGAGGCCTAGAGAGATAGGGACGCTGGGTGTGTTTCCCCCTGTGCAGCCCACACACCCGCGCCAGCCGTGTCCTGTGAGAACGGACAGCGGGAACTGAAGAGACCCACGGTGACAGGCCCCCTGGAAAGCTCTGTGATTGCTCCATTTTAGGAGAAGTGCGGCCTCGGGTGGAAGCCGCTGCTATTGAGGTGGGCTCACCAGCTTCAACCGGGACGGTGGGACAGAGGGACACAGGGACACTTAGCTGCCAAAAGCACACTGGGAACATCTGGGGAAAAGGACAACAGGGAGGGACAGGTGAGCAGAATGCCTCGTCCCACAGGGATCTTTGGCAGTGACTTGCTGATCACGGAGTCCCTGGGAAAGAGACGGACAGGCAGTGTCCTAGAGTTCACTGGTCTAACTGAAAACGAACAACCCCCTGGGTCTTATGGCCTCTAAGGACCCGCAGACACAGGTGCCCGATAGAAGGCAGGCTCGGTGCTCGGGAACGCCTGGCACCGCCCTTGGGAGAGCACCCACCCGCCCTCCTCCAAGCCTGCTCCCGAGGGACAAGGCCATTCACCTGGCGCATGTGCACTGGGACAGGAATCCACTCTGGAGATTACTAGACACTGGATTTGAACTGACACTAATTCACCAATTCCCGGGGACTGCAAGTGCCACTGCAGGCTGCCAGTCAGTGGTGGATCTATAGTGTCGGCAACAGGTGCAGCTCGGCCCTCCTCACACGGCTACAGCCAGTCCCTCACCCTGTGCCTGTGGTGTCCCTTCTCCCTGACCTCACCTTTGTAAACGGTCTACTTACTAAACTCTCCTCAGACACAGCTAGAGCGATACACTGGCAGGAATCCTTCAGTGGTCATTTTGCATGAATTTCTGGAGGCTGAGTGCAGACCAGTTTGAGCCTGAGAAACTCCTGGAGGCCACAGGAACCATGAAAAATGCTCCCTTGTACTAGCAGGGGGAGGGAAGAGTGAGCCCAGGCTGTTCCCCATAATAAAGGCCTTGTCTCCAGGGGAAAAGACCTTATCACATCTAGGGGGTAAGGAATTTACCCGATTCCAGCCCTCTCTAGTGTTGCTGTTTCACCTAACACAGGAAAGAAAAAAGACAAATGAAGAAACACCAGTGAAGGTCTCAGCCCAGGAACTCAGTCCCACTAAAAGACTGATATTTAACCATAACACTCCCACCGCACACCCTACAGCCCTGTGGGCAGAGCTCCGGGACAACAACAGTAGATTAGAGCCAAAGTGCCCCCAAACACAGCTCTACCTGAGGAGGAGTTCTTAAGGAATCTTAAAGACAACAAAGGAGACACCAATAAGGACAATAGAGGAACCGGAGGCCTCTAGCATCTATAGCTACACCAGACATCAAACACATCAAGCATTAAATCTAACCATAGTAAGCAGTCATCCCCCCTTACTCGAGGGAGATACGTCCTAAGACCCCCAGTGGATGCCTGAAACTGTGGCTAGTACTGGACCCCATATAACCTAGGATAAAGTTCAATTCATAAACTAGGCACAGTAAAAGATTAATAACAAAAACTAATGATAAAATGAAACAATAATAACAATATACTGTAATAAAGGTTATGTGAATGTGGCCTCCCTCCCTCTCTCTCTCTCAACATATCTTATTGACGACACTCACCTATTTTCGGACCCTGGTTGACCAAGGGTAACTGAAACCATGGAAAGCATAATTGCAAATAAGGAGCATCTACTGTAAAATTTCACTCTGAAGACTGTTTTTAACCTCAGTTCCCATTACTCAGTACATCACGTCTGGCTTTCAACAAAAATTATAAGGCACCAAAAAAAGGGCAAAAAACAACAACAAAAAACATGAATCTGAAGAGACAAAACAAGCATCAGAAGCAGACCCGGGTATGACACAGCGGCATACAGAGAACTGAATCATCAGCATACAGAGAATTTAAAGCAACTGTTATTAATATGCTAAGGGCTCTAATGGAAAAACAGACAACATGCAAGAACAAATGGGTATTGTAGTCAGAGAGATTAAAACTCTAAGGAAGGATCAAAATAAAATGCTGAACACTAAAAAAGATTGTAAAAAATATGAAGAATGGTTTTGGTAGACTCTTTTTTAAAACTTTTTAAAAATTTTGAAATAACTATTGCTGCGCAAGAAGTTGCAAAGATAATCAGCACCCTCCCATGCATCTTTGCCTCAGTTTCCCCCCAGGGTTACATCTTATGTAACTATGGTACATTATCAAAACCAGAAACTTGGCACTGGCATGACGTGTGTGCATCATTCTCTGCCTTTTTAATCAGATTTCTAGATTCATGTAACCACCACCACAGTCAAAACACAGAACTGTTCCAAGAATGACCTCTTTTATAACAAATCTTTTATTAATAAAATTCTTTAAACTTTTAATTATTCTAACAGTTGTATTATTTAATTATTTAATTGTTAAATTTAATTATTAAATTTTTAATTTTTTAATAATTATTTAATTATTATAACAATTGTATATCTTGGTAGACTCTTTGGTAGGCTGCACACAGCCAAGGAAAGGATCAGTGAATTTGAAGATAAGCTAACAGAAACTTCCAAACTGAAATTTAAAAAAGGGAAAAAATGATCAAAGAAAAGCACAATATACAAGAGCTATTAGATATTTCAAAATGTACGGCATCAGTATAACTGGAATACCAGTAGGAAAAGAGAGAAAAAGTTAGGAGAAGCATTTTAAGTAAATGGCCAAGAATTTTCAAAAATTAATGACAGATCTTTGACAAAAAAGCAGGGTAATTTGATGGACAAAGAGTAGCCTTTGCAACAAATGGTGCTTGAACAATGGTGCTTGAACATTCATATATTTTTTAAATGAACCTATACACCAACCTTACATCTTTCACAAAAATTAACTCAAAATGGATCATTGATCCAAATTCCAAAACTTCTAGAAGAAAATATAGGATATGGGTTTTTAGATACAATACTAAAATTCTGATTGATGAAAGAAAAAAATTAATAAGTTAGACTTTATTGAAATTAAAAATTCCTTCTCTCTGAAAGACAGGAAAGAGAATCAAAAAACAAGCCACAGCCTTGGAGAATATATTTGCAAATCACATACCAAGGACTTGTATATTTAAAATATGCAAATAACTTGTAAAATTCAACAATAAAAAAAAATTCCAATTACAATAAGGACAAAAGATCTGAACAGGCACCTCACCATAAAAGATAAATAAATAGCAAATAAGCATATGAAAAAGATCACCATTTTTCATTAGGGATTTGAAAATTAAAACAGTGAGGTACCACTACATACCTATTAGAATGGACAAAATTTATTTTTTAAAAAAAACTGACAATACCAAGTGTAAGGGAATGCGGAGGAACAGGATCTCTCTCACTCGTTGCTGGAGGAATGCAAAATGGTACAGCCACTTTGAAAGACAGTTTGGCAGTTTCTTACAAAGCTAACTATAGTCTTACCATATGACCTAGCAACCGTGTGCCCACGTATTTACCCAAATAATTTGAAAACTTATGTCCACACAGAAATCTGCATGTGAATATTTATAGCAGTTTTATTCCTAATCACCAAAACTGGAAGCAAACATTATGTCCTTAATAGGTGAATGAATAAACAAACTGCAATACATCCATATGATTGAATTATTACTCAGCAATAAAAATAAAAGGTTCTAGCGAGCCACAAGACATCACTAAATCTTAAATGCATATTGCTAAGTGAAAGAAACCAATCTGAAAAGTCCACATAATGTCTAATTCCAATTTTATGATATTCTGAAAATGGCAAACTATTGAAAAGGCAAACTAGTGTCCAATTATGTGACACTCTGGAAAAGGTAATAAGATCGGTGCTTGCCACAGGTTGAAGAGGTGAGGATGGGATTTTAGGGCAGCGAAACTATCCTGTGTGAGGCTGTGATGGTGGCCACGTGACATTACACATTTGTCAAAGCCCAGAGAACATTATAGCCCAAAGAGGGAGTCAAAATGTCTATAAATGTTTAAAAAACCATTTAGGCAATCAGAGGATCCAAAGAAGGAATGAATATCATGATCAGAAAATGTAACTGTATCATAAATGTCTGAAACAAGGAAGGGGCAGGGGAGATACTACCATACGTCAGTTTGGAAAGGAGCAGAGTCTGTAAGACTAAAAGCAACAGAAACTACACGATCGCTGCACGCTAGTGGACAGAGCCGTTTCCCACCAGAGCCTGGGACAATAATTCCAATACTATTATACATGTGTACACTGGAATTAAATAATTAAGTAAATGGGTAGCAGATTGTGGGAGCCAGGTGTCTAACTGTCGGAGCAGGATTTTACAGATAAGCAAGAAGAGGCTAGAGTGAGGCACATGGTAATTATCTAGGGTTAGAGACATCAGCATGAGCTCATATTTCACTTAATACAGATATTTAACATGGATGCTGGTAGCGATACAAAGGAATATGTGTGACTACGTGTAGGCACTTTGGTTAGCATGTGCACACACACACACACACACACACACACATTGTTGCTCTGTCAGCGAAGAGGGCCTAGCAGAAATGATACTTCAGTAGCAAGACACACACCTAGTTCCCAGATCTTGGCTTCTCATATCACTCTCCAATAAAAGGCATCAGGTCCTCTCTCGGACACGGCTGATTCCAGGACTGGGCGGGAAGGACACAAGGTGAGCCTGGGTCATACTGTAGTGCCAGAAAATAAGGAAGCAAGAAAAACGCTAAACCGGCAACGATCAAAAATAAAACCCACGCTGCTGGGAGTGGGGCAAACGGACACAGGGACCAACTGAAAGGCCGTCCCCACGGCCAAAGCTGGAGCAACGAAATGACGGCAGCAGTCTTGTCTTATGACCCGAGGCTCAAAATAAATACTCATTAGTATGTGTGAATATAAACAAATGCTTGAATAAAATAACAAACGGGGGAGAAGAGACAGATCTCCCGTGAAGAAGCATGCCAAGTC